CCACTGTCCTCATCCATAGGTGCACGATTTTTTAAAAAAAATATATTTTATTGATTTTTTACAGAGAGGAAGGGAGAGAGATAGAGAGTTAGAAACATCGATGAGAGAGAAACATCAATCAGCTGCCTCCTGCACACCCCCTATTGGGGATGAGCCTGAAACCAAGGTACATGCCCTTGACTGGAATCGAATCTGGGAACTTTCAGTCCTCAAGCCAACGCTCTATCCACTGAGCCAAACCGGCTAGGGCAAGGTGTACAATTTTTGTCCAGTCTCTTTCCGCATCTCCCACACACCTTTCCCTGCCGAGAATAATCAGTCCATTCCCTTTCTATGCCCCTGATTATATTATAATCACCAGTTTATTCTGTTCATCAGATTTTTTATTCACTTGATTTTTAGATTCACTTGTTGATAGATGTGTATTTGTTGTTCATAATTTGTATCTTTACCTTTTTCTTCTTCTTCCTCTTCTTAAAAGGATACCTTTCAGCATTTCATATAATACTGGTTTGGTGGTGATGAACTCCTTTAGCTTTTTCTTATCTGTGAAGCTCTTTATCTGACCTTCAATTCTGAATGATAGCTTTGCTGGATAAAGTAATCTTGGTTGCAGGTTCATGCTATTCATCACTTTGAATATTTCTTGCCACTCCCTTCTGGCCTGCATAGTTTCTGTTGAGAAATCAGCTGACAGTCGTATGGGTACTCCTTTGTAGGTAACTGTCTTTTTCTTGCTGCTTTTAAGATTCTCTCTTTGTCTTTTGCTCCTGGCATTTTAATTATGATGTGTCTTGGTGAGGTCCTCCCTAGATTCCTTTTGTTTGGGGTTCTCTGTGCTTCCTGGACTTGTAAGTCTATTTCTTTCACCAGGTAGGGGAAGTTTTCTGTCATTATTTCTTCAAATAGGTTTTCAATATCTTGCTCTCTCTCTCTTCTTCTGGCACCCCCATAATTCGGATGTTGTTACACTTGAAGTTGTCCCAGAGGTTCCTTACACTATCTTCATATTTTTGGATTCTTTTTTCTTTTTGTTTTTCCGGTTGGGTGATTTTTGCTTCTTGGTATTTCAAATCTTTGACTTGATTCTTGTGATCCTCTAGTCTGCTGTTGGAACTCTGTATAATATTCTTTATTTCAGTCAGTGTATGCTTAATTTCTAGTTGGTCCTTGTTCATATCCTCGAGAGTCTCACTAGATTTCTTGAGGGTCTCACTAAATTTATCGGTGATTTCTAGAAAATTCTTGAAAAACCTTATAAGTGTGGTTTTGAACTCTATATCCAGTAGTTTGCTTTCCTCCATTTCTGTAATTTGTGACCTGTTTCTTTGTTTCCACATTTTTTATGCTTCCCTGTGTTGATAGAGTGGCTTTGTGTGCTAGGTGTCTTATAGGGTCCAGTGGCTCAGCCTCCCCAATTACCTGAGGTGGACACTCTTGGTGCACCCCTTTGTGGGCTTTTTGCACAGTCTTGTTGTAGTTAAGCCTTGATTGTTGTAGGTATCACTGGGAGGAATTGACTTCCAGGCCAATTGGCTGTGAGAATCAGCTGTGTCTGCAGTGGAAGACCTTCTGTGCTGAAGACACCCTTCTGGGGCAAGACTTGCTTCAGTGGGGGCTTTGGTGCTCACTGAGTCTGCTCCCTGAGTGTGTCCCTTATGGATCTGAGGAGTTGTAATCTGGATGGTCCCACTCTGACCACTGGGTACACTGGCTCTTGAATCTCTAAGGAGGTGCTAATTTAGCCTCTGTCTGAGGCTACCCAGCAGGAGCTATGGAGAGATCTGCAGATTCCTCTTCTTTGTTTGGGGTTTGGAGGTGCCTAGATGAGGCCCAGCTGTGAAGAAATGCAAGCTGCTGTGGGGCCTTGGGCCTTCTTTTGGAAGTTCTGGGTCTCTCTGACACAGCTGCTGTTTGTTAGGTAATTTTCAGAGTGCAAAGGGCCAGGCCTTTCATATGCAAAAGCCTTTGGGCACAGCTTGGGTGGGGCAGGGTCTCAGGGGATCAACAGGGCGGAGCAAGCAGCTATGGCTGCTCCTCAGTCCTACCCTAAGAGGCCCGAGTCTCAGTGTCCCGGTAATCGCTGTAAGAACCTCTGAGAGAAAGCCGCCATCGAGTTCCGCCCGCTGCCAGACAATCCAGTTTCTCCCTGCATGAGTCTGGGTCCCCAGAGACTCACCTGGAACTGGAGTTCAGAGCAGTTGGGAGCTTGAGACTCCCTCCCGATTGAAAAAGATAACCGTGTCCTCAGTTGCCAGCCCTTTCCACGTGCACCTCTGTACCTCTGCACTTTACTTCCGAATCTCCTCTGAGTCTCAGTGTACTTTTCTCTTTTCTTCTAGTTGTAGAATTTCCACTCAGCCAGCCTTCCTGTGGTTCTGGATGATGTCCATTTTGTCTTTTAGTTGTATTTTTGAAGTGGTTGTGCGAGGCAGCAATTTCCAGTGTTTACCTATGCCGCCATCTTGGTTTCTCCAACTTGGGGAGGTTTTTGATGACTGTTTCAGTTTATTTAGTGTTTTCTGGTCCATTTAGACCAGTGGTTCTCAACCTTCCTAATGCCGCGACCCTTTAATACAGTTCCTCATGTTGTGGTGACCCCTAATTTCATTGTTACAAATTGAACATAATTAAAGCATAGTGATTCATCACAAAAACAATATGTAATTATATATGTGTTTTCCGATGGTCTTAGGTGACCCCTGTGAAAGGGTCATTTGACCCCCGAAGGGGTCTCGACCCACAGGTTGAGAACTGCTGATTTAGACCTTCCAGTTACTTATGAATCAATCTGGGAAGGTGATAGATGTCTAAGAAGTTGTCCATTTCTTCTAGGTCATTGAATTTGGTGGTATATAGCTTTTTTTATAGTATTCTCATATAGTTTTTGTATTTCTGTGGGGTCTTGTATCTTCTCTTTAATTTCTGATTTTGTTTATTGACTGTTTTCTCTTCTTTCCTTAGTGAGTCTAGCCAAGATTTTGCCAGTTTTGTTAATAATTTCAAAGAACCATGTCTTTGTTAAATGAATTTATTCCTATTGTTTTTCTGTTCTCTATTTTATTTAATTTTGCTCTAATTTTTATTATGCCCTTTCTTCTTTTGACTTTGGGCCTTAATTTTTTTCTAGATCATTAAGATAAAATGTTAGATTTTTTTTTAATTTGAGATTTTTCTTCTTTCTTGTATGACTTTTTTCTTCCCCAAGTTAGGGAAGTTTTCTGTTATTTTTTCTTCAAACAGGTTCTCTATACCTTGCTCACTTCCTTCTCTCTGGGGTACCCATATAATGTGGATGTGGTTAAGTTTCATGTGGTCCCAAAGTCCCCTTAAATTATCCTAATGATTTTTAATTATATTTTGTTTCTGCTGCTCTGATTGAGTGATTTTTTTTCTTCCTTGTCTTCTAATTCGCTGATTTGATTCTCTGCTTTGTCTAAGCTACTATCATTCTTTCCAGTCTATTCTTTATTTCAGATATGTCATTCTTCATTTCTGACTGGTTGTTTTTCATGGTTTCTATGCCCCTTTTTATGTTGTTGATCATTCTTAAAACCATTACTTTATACTCTGTTGTTAATAAATTGCTTGCCTCCATTTCATTTAGCTTTTTTGTCTGTAGCTTCTTCCTTTTCTTTCATTTGGGTCTGTTTCTTTGTTTCCCCATCTTTGCTGTTTATTCTGTTTGTTTCTATGTAATGGATAGGCCAGCTATTACTCTGTCTTGGTGGAGTGGCCTTCTGCAGTGATTATCTTGTGGGACCCAGTGGTGTAGTCTCCTTGATCTTCTGAGCTGGGTGTTGTAGAAATGTCCTTTGCATGGGTTATGTGGGCCCTCCTGTTGTGATTGGCTCTTGATTGCTGTTGTCCCATTAGTAGGTGGGTGTAGCCCTCGTGCTGGCTGACTGTGAGGCTCAACCCCGACCACCTCATGCCAACTGTTATACAGACATTGACAGAAAAAAATAAAGAGAAGACAAAAGCAAACCAAAAAAAAAACACCCCAAACCTCCCAAAACCAAAAACACCAAACCATCATCAACAATAAAATAAAGAGCAAAAAAAGATTAAGAAAAAAATGTATGAATACTAAAAGATAAGAGGCCAAAAGAATTAAAGAAAAAAATGAAAAAAGAAAATTTGAAAGAAGAGAAGAAAGTAGGAAAACAGAATAAGAATACAAAAGAAAATAAAGATAATGAATGGAATAATAATAATAATATAAAAACAGTAATAATAATGAATAAAATAAAATCCTATATAATAAAAGGCTAACATGCAAATAGACCGAATGGCAGAACAACTGAACAACTGGTCGCTATGATGTGTGCTGACCACCAGGTGGTGTGTGCAGAACATGGCAGGCGTCAGCCATGGTGGATGGTGGAGCAGGTGAGTGGGGCACCAGACCAGGGCAGGGCACTGGTTGCTGTCATCAGGGCAAGCCTCTGGTGATTACTGAAAATTCCTTGCTCTTGCACACTGCAGTCCCACCTGGAGCTTGCACCTGCTGCCAGCACTCGAGCCACCACTTGAACCTGCTGCTGGTGCCCGGCACCGGCCCCAATCACTCTGCAACATCAGTGGGTGTGAGTGGCAGCTGCTGGCCCGGTCACCCCCCATGGCTTCTCCACCTTCCCCTGCTCCTGAGGGGCAATCAGGGCAGCAGCCACTGCTCGCACCCACTGATGGTGCTGGCCCCAATCTCTCTGCACTGTAAGTGGGTGCGAGCAGGGCTGGCGCTGTCAGTGCGTGGGAGCAGGGCTGGCGGGAGCGGGGCTGCCGGCAGACAGAGGACTGAGGGCCAAAGTGGGAGGGGCCAGGCAGGGGCACAGAGGATAGGCCGAGACCTGCCCCTGTGCCCACCACAACCTTGTGGCCCACAGTTCCTTTTAAGGTGCACGAATATTCATGCACTGGGCCCCTAGTATTAAATAAAAGAACAACAGAAAAAGAAAAGAGAAAGAGGAAAAATAGATAAGAAAAGAAGAGATAAATAAGAGATAAAACAGAAATAGTGAAGAGAAAATAAATGAAAAAATAAAATATAAATGAACAAATAGAAAAGATTTAAAAAGTGGAGTTCTCCACATACTTTTAAGCCTGCTGCTATTACCAGTACCCTTTAAACCTGTTATTTGTAGAGTTTGTTGGATTTTGCTCTGGTTTTGTCCAAATCTGGACACATGGTGTGCTCGTCCCTGGCCTTCCGGGAGGTTCTCTCATGCAAGTCGTTACCAGTTGCTGTCCCTGGCTGGCCCTTGGCATCCTGACTGAAGCTTGGCAGGGCACCTTTCATCTTCTCAGCCTCTACAGAACAGAAAATAAATAGAAACTGGCCATTGGAGCACCCTTGTTTCTTCTTCTATTTTTGTAGACTAGCACTGCAGGGTGACTTCCGGTCCCAACTTCCTCAAACATCTGAGGAATTCACCTCTTCACTCTGAGGTAAATGCTTTTTTTGGTGAGAGAGCATCTCAGATTACAGCCCCTGGCCTTGTCCTCATGCTGCTGAAGCTCTTGCTGTTGCTCTGTGGTGAGTAGGACAACGCAGAGTCTGGGATTCCGTCACACGGGGGCTCTGTCTTCTATAGAGCTGTGGGACTCTCAGCAGAGTCTGCCTGGCTATGCTCAGGGATGCTTAGATCTCTACTTCCAACTGAGGGTGGGGTCAGGCAGAAAGTGGTAGATACAGGAAAGCCAGATTTTTAAAAAGGAAATGATCATTTTAGCTTTTATCTCATAGGATGTGTTCACCGTCTGTCTTTCTACTTTCATTTATTTATTTTTATATATTCTTTATTGATTTCAGAGAGGAAGGGAGAAGGAGAGAGTTAGAAACATCAGTGATGACAGAGAGTCATTGATTGGCTGCCTCCTGCTTGCCCCACACTGGGCATGGAGCCTGCAACCTGGGCATGTGACCGGGAATCAAACCCTGGCCTCCTGGTTCATAGGCTGATGCTCAACCAGTGAGCCATAGCAGCCGGGCTGTCTTTCTACTTTTTTTTTTAAATTGTTGTTGTTAATCCTCACCTGAGGATATTTTTCCATTAGTTTTTAGAGAGAGTGGGAGAGAGAGGGGAAGACAGAGAAACATCGATGTGAGAGGAACACATCGATTGGTTGCCTCCTGTGCGAGCCCTGACCAAGACCCAGGCCAGGGAGGAGCCTGCAACCATGGTACGTGCCCTTGACCGGAATCGAACCTGGGAACCTTTGGTCCTTAGGCAGATGCTCTATCCACTGAGCCAAACTGCCTAGGGCATGTCTTTCTACTTTTAATGGATGATTTTGTTTTTGGAATTTTCAATAGCCACAAAGATAGTTTGTACCACAAATTGGTCTCTCAGCTCTTTGCCCTTCTTACTATAAACATTGTTATTCTTTATCTTTTTATGACCTTCCATTCCTACCATCAATCCCTAGAGCATTGCTAACAACTGCCCTGTTTCCAAAATCGTTGTTTTCAGCATCAGCCCCCTTCCCCACACAACTAACAGACTGTATCTCCAGCTCACGTTCTCTAATGCTCGGTCTCCAACATGTCTCAACTCCCCAAGGTTACTTTTCCATTGTCGATTACTACGCTCTGCATCCTCTCTTCTCACAGTAGTCACCTTAGACTCTATCCATCACAATACTCCGTTGCATACACCTTCATCTCTCTTCCCCCACAGCAGTCTCCTGATTAACACAGGTTTCTGCATGCTTCACACCTGTGCCTGAGCAGCTGCATGTGACTTCATACCAAAGGTGCAATCAGGCCACTAGTCTAAAATAAAATCCCAAACTATTCCCAAGTCCAGAAACCCCCTGACGGGCTCCTGCTTACTTCTCTCACACCGGTACCAACCACTGTCGGTCCACCGGGTCGATTCCGGATGCGCTGGCCTTCCTATCCCGCCGTGGGAAAGGTGATGCCGTCTTAATGTCTTTGTAGGCGCTGCGTCCCTTCCAGAAATGATCGTTTCCAAATACTCAGTAGGCTTTCACCCTAATTTCACTTAGGTTTCTCCTCGATGGACATCTATCTAAATAGTCAAGACCATCATGAGATCATCAGTAACTTATTTCTCTGATTTATTTTCCTTATGGCGCTAATCACTCTCTGAAACCATGCCATATGTTTATTTTTAATTGGCTCTCTTCCACTGAAATGTAAAATTTTGACAACAAAGACTACCATTCATCTTTATTCCTGTAACATAAGTGCCATCTACAATGCCTCGTATATAGTATTTGTTGTATAGATGAATAAAGAAAATGTGATTTTCTTTTTTAAAAAAATATATTTTATTGATTTTTTACAAAGAGGAAGGGAGAGGGATAGAGAGTTAGAAACATCGATGAGAGAGAAACATTGATCAGGTGCCTCCTGCACACCCCCTACTGGGGATGTGCCCACAACCAAGGTACATGCCCTTGACTGGAATTGAACCTGGGACCTTTCAGTCTGCAGGCCGACGCTCCATCCACTGAGCCAAACCGGCCAGGGTAAAAATGTGATTTTCATGTAAGCCTTTATCCATTCTTTTCTTCTACCCGAGGAACTAATTTCTTAAATAATAAACATTTACCCTAAAAACAGAAGGCATCTCACACTAAACATGGGCTTAAATAGAAGACATTAATAATGAGATAATATTTACTGAACGTTGAATAAATTCTAGGCACTACTCTAAGCATTTTATGGCTATCAACTTATTTAATTCTCACAAAACTCTATGAGGCAAGTCTGTTATTGTCTCCATTTTTTCCAGAAAAGGAAAGTACAAAGAGATGAAACCTTTTTCTCGGGGTGACACAACGTGTGAGAGGAAGAGCCTCTTACCAATGCCATCGGGCGGTAGAGCCTGCGTTCCCACAGCAGGTGCAGTTTTAGTGATTATCAGGCCCTGAGCCTTCCCACAGTCCTGTCCTGGCTACCGTTACATGAGGCAGCATTAGAGCTGGGCCATCCGGACCTTTGAGAGGAGGGCCTGGAAACGGCGGCTTGAAGAAGGGAGCTGCTAAGTAGTTCTAAAACAGAGGCACCATCGTGTAATTATAAATGAGAGAAGCTCTTGGAAGTTGCTTTATAATCATAAAATGAACTATGTGTTGTTTATGGGCAGGTGTCTTGTGGGTGATGTGGAATGTGAGAAGAGGAATGGAGAGAAAGGAGAAAAGAAGGAAGGAAGGGTAAAACTCAGGAGGAAGGGAGGAAAGAAGAGAAGAAAGGGAAGAGAGAAAGAGTGAAGGGAGAGGAAGGGAAAGAGGCGGGGGAGGGCGCAGGGAGGGAGGGTCTGCTGTTGGGAAACTCTTGGGAAAATTAAACTTGGCATGGGTTTTGGATTTGGTGTTCCGCACTGACCTCTGCCGAATTCTCTCCCAGGTCAGCCCTGTGAACCAACAGGTGAGTTGCACTTCCCTTTCTTCTTCATGGTCGGTGGGTACCTTGACACGTGGGCCAACCCCGGAGGCCAGCGGGTGGCTGTCTGACATCTGGTGACAGCTACCGAGGTGTATAAACAACCGTGGCTCACTCGGGCCTAGGCTGCGGTGTTCACGTTTGTTTCTGTACCTGATATTTGCATGTTCAGCTCGGGGAGCAGGTGTTGGTCTTTCCTCAAAACCACAGTCTTTTTTTTTTTCCCCCTGGGAAGTCCCAGCTGAGGGAGGGATATGCTGCTTGCACACGGAAGTCATGGGTATCAAAGATTGATTTTATTTTATTTTATTGATATAACAATTTTTTTCAGAATTTTTTTATTGTTGAAAGTATTACATGTGCTCCCCTTTTTGCCCATTGATTCCCTCCAGCCTGCCCCCGCGCCCCACCCCAGGCCCTCACCACCCCACTGTCTGTGTCCACGGGTTATGCATATGTGCATACAAGGTCTTTGGTTGATTACCTCCCACCCAGCCACCCTCCCTCAAAGATTGATTTTAGAAGAATCTCTGCCCTCGCAGCCTCAGGGGCCCTGAGGCCCCAGTGTACTCCTCAGCTGGGTGTTACACCAGGAGGGAGAAGGGAGCCACATTCCCACGGAGAACACCGTCACAGCCAGCCCTGGGCCACGCGCAACATAAAATAATGCTGCCGGCTCCTCCCCAGTGTTAGCTGAGCTGCTGCCACAGCAGTTACCCAGCGTGGTTTCTCTCTCGGACTCTGATTTCTGCAAACTTACTTCATTGTTCTGATCCTCGCTTAAGGTCTTACCTTTACCAGATGGAGAGAGGAGACCATTTCCCCCCCAGAAGAAATATTTCACTGAAGTGTGTTTCAATGTAATATGTGTCAGAACTCTCTTTTTGTGCATAAAATATGAAGCACAGGGTTAAATGAGGCTGTCCTGTTCCATCAGTGAGGGCACCCCAGATTAGGGTTCCTATGACGAGGGATGCTCAGAGCCGACTCCTCCGGCTGGGTCCCTCGCCTGGTGTTTGTCTGAGCCTGTGCCAATGCCACGGTGTCTTATTCTTGGCCCTGTTTTTCCTCCGAAAAGCCACACAGGCACCTAGCCCTAGCCTAAGTCACACCCAGGGTGATGAAAGCTTCTGCTACCAGGAATTTCCCATGGAGCCTCTGTGCCTGAGAATTATCTCTATATATAAAAGCCTAAGTGACCATTACCACCAGACGACTGGATGACCAGCCAGTAGCTATGACGTGCACTGACCACCAGGGGGCAGATGCTCAACACAGGAGCTGCCCCCTGGTGGTCAGTGTGCTCCCACAGCAACCTCCCATGGTGGCTGGCCAACCTCCTGTGGTCCGGCCTGCGCTATTGGCCCTGATCGGGACTGGGCAAGATGGCCCCAATGGGCCCCGATCACTGGCCAGGCTGAGGGACCCCACCCGTGCACAAATTCGTGCACCGGGCCTCTAATTTGAAATAAGCTCCAAGCCGTAAGATTGAGCTCCAAATCCTTGAAAACTGTGCTTTCTGATGTCCTACTCCATCCCCAACCCAGGCTCATTCAGAAAAGTGGCCTCCAGGTGCCCAGGTACCTTTTTCCTTCCCTTTTCTGCTCAGGCCGTACATCTGTGCTGCTCCTCAGGCCTCTAGGGACTGCAGTTATCCAAGGAGAGAAAGCGACTCCACTGTGCAGGGCATCCCACCCCCAGCACGGGCAAATCTTGTCGCATCATTCTGGAACTGATGTTCTGCAAGTCCCAAGGCACAGCATTCCAGGGTAAAGATTACAGATATCAAACCAGAAATAACCCTCCGGAGATCTGGAACACTTGGCATTTTTAGCTGGTGAATTAAAGATGCATCAGCCCATGAAACATCAAAATCCCTGAGAGCACTGGCCATTCAGGGGTTTGTTTATTCAACCCTCAGAGCCTCTACTATTTGGGAAGTTTTAAGAAATACCTCTTTCCTTCCTACCATCAGGAGATGAGATGAAAGCAGAATACAAATATAACCATCTTTAATTCATCCAGGAAAAAGCTCCTAAGGCAAAAACATACACCCCCGAGGCTCAAGATATGGGTTAAATTTTCTCCTTGTAAACATGGCTTCTAAAGGAGCTTGTAAAGAAGTCTCACAAGAAAAAAAGGGGAAAAAAAGAACCCCCCCCCCAAACAAACAGACATAAATATATGAAAAAAAGTAAAAAAAAGTCTCAGAACACAGGCTGTGCAGATGTGTGGATGGAGGACATTTCTAAGCAAGTACATGCCTGCTTCTTTCATTACAATAATAAGGGCAGAAGAGAATAGGTAAAGAAGGAAGTGAGTTTCTCTAAGTCTTTCCCAGACGCACCAAGTTTTGTATTCTGTCTTGGAAAGAGATAGTCTGAGATGTCAGGGGAAAGGAGACAGAAGAAAACAGCCACTAAGGCCTACAACAAGGATGGCTGAAATATATTCGCTTTTCCGACGACTTCAAGCGTTGTCTTCCCCAACGCCAGCTGCAATGGCAGTGGTCAGGATCCCGGCACGGTCTCCAGCAAGGCTGCTCTTAGTTCATGGATAGAAACTTCAGTGAGTAAGGACCGAGTCAAAGGTAAGGGCTGCCTGTGGTAGGAGGCGATGCTACACAGAGGCAGGTGTGTTGCGGGTGAGCCGATGGCAGAAGAAAGCCCATGGACCACGTGTGGGTGGTGATGTGATCCGTGTGTCCAGTTGGCTGGTTCTCACTCTTTCCTTATTTCTCTTGATTTCAGAGAGGAAGGGAGAGGGAGAGAGATAGAAATATCAATGATGAGAGAGAATCATTGATCAGCTGCCTTCTGCACACCCTCTACTGGGGATCAAGCCTGAATCCCAGGCATGTGTCCTTGACCGGAATCAAACCCAGGACCCTTCAGTCCACAGGCTGCCGCTCTTATCCACTGAGCCACACCAGCTAGGGCAGATTCAGTCTTGTTTCAAATGCTAAGAATACAAAATGACTGAATGCCATTGCCCTGGAATGTGTGTTTAATCCTTCTCTCTAGCGCTGCTTTTGACAGTCAGCCCTCCTCGGCCCATAGAGGGGAACGCAATGGCCCTGACCTGTAAGACCCAGCTCCCCACACAGAAGTTAGGTGTCCCGCTCCAGTTCTTCTTCTTCAAAGATGGCTCTGCCCTGGGGCTGAGCTGGAACAACTCCTCGGAGCTCCAGATCACTGCCCTGAAGAGGAAAGATTCCGGGTCCTACTGGTGTGAAGCTCAGGCAAAGGGCCTTAAAGTCATACGGAGCCGGAGAATCCAGATAGATGTGCAGGGTGAGTGCCACTGGGCCCCTCTGCTGGGTGCTGGGGGGGCGTGAGCCTGGGCTGTGCTCACTGTTCTGTTCTGCTCCTGAGCTGCTCTCTCGAGGCGAGTCCTTAGGGGTCCTCCCTTCCCCTTGCTATTCCCATTCAAGCGAGCAGAAGACTATTTAGACAAACTTGATTGTGTGTCTTCACTCTGCTGGAGAGAGTGGAGAAAATCTACGTAATACCTGGTCCCTGGTACAAGCAGCTGTTGCTCACTCAGCACTTTGAACAACTACGGTGGAGTAGAGGGTGTTGTTGTACAGGAAGGGCTATTAATAAAGATACTGAGAAGAGAGAAAGATGACCGAGTGGCACGAGAAGGCTTTGTGGAACAGGCTATTACAGGTGGGCGATGGGAGAAAAGTGCGGGCCTGGTTTTTAAAGTCAGAAAAGGCGTTTTCTGATTCAGAATCCCAGATGTTATTGCAGGTCAGGCCGATGCTCCTGAGGTCCTTTCATTCTCGGACAAAGATGTGTCCACTGCGCCCTAAAGCAGCTGTTCTCCAGATGCCTGGGCTTCCCACACCTGCTCACAGTCAACATGGGTGATGGTGGAACACACACACACACCAACACCACACACCACACACCACACACCACATACATACACCACACACCACATACCACATACATACACCACACACACCACACACACACACCATAAACACACACCCACACACCACACACACACACACACACACACACACCATACACACACACACACCATACACACACACCACACCACACCACACCACACACAC